GTCCACTCTGTGATACTCTATTGCAATTGAAGTTAAGCAGGATATTTGAAGATCTGTCTTCTGTTGCTGAAAAACTAGTGTCATTAGAAAGTACACAATCAAATGAGAGTTTTAACCATACAGTATCATCTAAAGCTTGCAAAAGTCACTTTTATAGTGGTTATCAGAGTCTGAACTATAGTGGCAGCAGCAGTATCACAGAAGAATATTGGTTATTCATATGTATCAGAAGTGAGTTTTTAACTCAATGATGGGGAGGTTTAGGGTGTATTATTGCTCATTTGCCAATTCAGCAATATTTAGTTGAAAAGTAAAATTGAGTTGGTGCCTTACATAGTTATGCATATGTAGCTTTAAAATATACCAAATACTGTTTACATATTTATTATCCACATTCATTGGCATTTGAGTGGTAACATTACCTACCCATACATTTGAGTAAAATTGTGCCTGGTTTTTATTTTATAATTTATTCCTGTTTTTAGTTGAATGCATTCTGTTTGATTTATAATTTATATGAATTAAATCTGTACAAACTGATTTAAGGAATCTTTTCACAATTGAAAGAAATACTAATCAGAAAAAATCTTTTCTTTCAGATCTTGTTCAAATATTGAAAATAAGACTGATAATTAGTCAAAATTGTATTATTGATTTGTTATATTAACTTCTGTTATATAAGGTGCAGACCATTCAGAAATATGGAGAGGTCTTTAAAGATTATTGGAGAAACAACTTTAATTTTCCCACACTTTCCTATTGCTATTTTTTACATATTCCAAAACTGATGTATTTTCATGTTATATTTCAGGTTAACAAACAATTAGGGTTATCCCCAGGAACTTTTTCAACAGCCAGAGCTCTTCAGATTGACAAGGAAAACTCTAAACGTCGTACTGAAAGTCAATCAAGAGATGCCAAGAAACGACGCCTTGAATTGAAAGAGAAAAAAACATGTATGACCGTGGCGCATGAGACAAGAGAAGGAGACACATACTCAACAAGAATTCAAATTTCAAAACGTAATAATTATTACCAATTTTTTTTTAAAGCATGATTTAAATAGAAGTGTCTTTTTAAGCATAACATTTGTTGTAAAGAAACAAAAAATATCTATCTACTTAACCGCTTGCTTACAATAAAGCAAATACTACTATAATTTTTGCACAAACTATGTGTTTCCATGGTTTATACATGTTGACAAACATATACAAATTTATATTAATAGAATCAAACATTATAAAGTTTGTTTCATTTTCAGCCATCCATGACATTGACTACATTCCTGCAGCACAGCTTCCTCCTAATTCCTCATCGGGTTAACAAGTCATCAGTTCCTTGGGTTTATTTTGACTTGGAAACCACTGATCTGAGTAAGTTATAAGTTATTCATAGTTTTTAATTGTCATGCGTTTTACACTTGTTGTATACATAGCTATGGGACCCATATCAAACACGGTGTGATGCAATGACTATCTAGCTTTATTATGTATTACCAGTACTGTCAATTTCATTTAAGCATGACCGTCTTTTATAGAAATTGATAAAATATTTATTATTTATTCAAACAAATTTAAATTCATAAAACATTTATAAATATTTTATATAATTAAAAAAAATTATGCCTTCATGAAATTCATACTATACAATGGATTAATAAAAATAAGTCTTATTTACTCTATTAGACGTACAGTTCCAAAAGAAGTACACATAAAATAAAAATTGATTTTATTGTTTATCCATCAATAGGTGTTGAGGGAAGGTAATGTACATAAGCAATTGTGTTACTGACACTTTAGCAAATATGGTGTTTATAATTGATTATAACTAACACCTTTAACATATCACACATGAGGGCAGATCATATTTGTCATAAATTTTATCAAAGCATTCGTTTGTTCTTGCAGGTCGCACATCACATATCACACAGTTGGCTGCCATTGGGTCCGTCTTGTCAGCTGAATTTATATATAAAACCAAAAAAAAATATTCCTGAAGCATCTGCCATCACAGGCATTACATTTTTAAATGGAATAATGAAAAAAAATGAGACAACTACTGAATGTATTCCAATTAAGGAGGCGTTAACAAAACTTGTTGAGTTTCTTTCTCCAAATGGAGCTATTTTAATAGGCCACAATATTAGAAGTTTTGACTCTCGTGTTCTATTTAACGCAGTGGTGTCTAATAACATGGAAGATAGTTTTGGAAGCCTTGTTAAAGGCTTTGTTGATTCTTTAATTATTTTTAAGCATTTACACCCTGGTTGTCAAC